TCCATGATGAATCTCTATTCTCCATTTCAGATTAATCTATATTGTTTCTATTAATATCTGCTCTCCTATTTTAATCCTATTCGTACTATCATTGACAGCCCTCTCCATCCGTAACATAAACTCCTGAGTCATTAATCTCTTTCCGAAGTTACCATTAACGTCGTTGATTTAGTTGATGAATTAAAACCCTTAATTCCTTCTAATGGAAAAGCTACCCATATCCTATGTGTATTATTCACTGTTGGAGTGACTACTGTAATAAACTTATCCTTAACTCCCTCTGTGACTGTGGAAACTTCTACAGACTTCTAATCTTCCATTATAAGCGTCACCTTACAAATTACATAGCCCTTTAACCCATAATTCTTAACCGGAACAACTTCTAATGCTTGCACTAGATAAGTACACATATATTCTCCCTAACCTTTCTCTATAATATTACGCAACATAAGTGAACAGTCACTCCTAACCCTCTTCTAAACTATACCTCCTTTTACTCCTGGTCCTGATAACAACACTTATTCTCCATAATTATCTCTCCATATGAGAGGAACGTCCCCATCCTAAACCCTACTAAGTATTTTTCCCCCTAAAATTGGTGCTGTATTGGTTCCCTTATAATCAAATGCAATATATTTATGACTTTAATACCTATCAATGTTGAAAGAGTTAAATTGCTTCTCCCTGTTGTTCTAATAGACTGAAGTGTTAATGTCCTTATTTACTCCTAGTTTTCCCAAAGCTCTGAACTCTTTACTTGTACTTCCATCCATCACCACTAGTGTCACTTTTTCCCCCTTTCAGTTCTACCTCTAAACTTTAAACCTTCTGATTATAACAAAAGGTACCCACAATTACCTTGATCTTCCTATTCTAAAGTGTCATTCATTACTGTTCTCTCTCTCTCTTACTACTAACGTTAAAACTTAGCTTACTGTCTCAGAGTTCCTTCCACCCTAATCTACTCCTAACTTATTTTAATCTAATCTTTTCTCTCATAACATTTAAAACCTTTTCCCCTGATTTATTGACAAAATCTCTTACCACCAAATTTTTGGAATATGTGATTGGGAAAGTTCCCCACCTGCTTCTGACTCATTACACACAGACTTGGCAAAACCGACTAAACACCTTTTAGCCTAGCCTGAAATCTCTTAGTGTAAGGATGTAACCCAGAATAACAGTCACTCTATTAAGTTTATTTTCCCAGACAGATTGTCTAACAGGTAATCTAATACATTATCATCCTTCCTATGATATTATCTTTTAAGCAAATGATTCCCAAAAACCCTACTTTTTAGAATATTCTACCAGACAGTCAGTCGTCTAGTGTACATCTTATTGTACGCTTGAATTTACACCATGCATCTCTTTCCCAACAATGCCATAGGTATAATGTCCTAATATTAGTATGTCTCTTTTAATTCCTATTTGACTTCTATAGCAGAGCTCAATTGATTCCTTAAGAGTATTTAAACTGTTTTACTACTTCCAATCCCTATCCTAACCTAATTAGTTAGATGTTTAATTAGTGAGATGTTTAACCTCTTTAGGCTGAACCCAGATAAGTTTTTCCCCTATTTACTATCACTTCTAATGGTCGGTTGTTTTTACTTCAATTGTTGGCTATTTTCTCTTCTTCTCTAATCGATGCTCTCAGCTGATACCCCCCTTCCGGATATTGTTCAGTTGAAGCTGTAACAGTGATTGTTGATTTGGTTCACTCTGATTCTTCATAACCACAACTTCTCTTCTCCACCAGTTGTATGATTGAGTTTTCAGAGTTTCTTCGTCTCGTTGTGGACCTATCAGTATTCTTCAAAAGGTTATCTTCTAAGTTCTGTTCTTGAAATATCATCTTCTTACCAGTGGCCTTCCCTTTGGCCTCACTGTATTATTCTTCTCCTTCAATTCTTGCGGTCTTCATCCAGTCGTGTTACTTCTTCCACTTCTCCATTTCTTCTTTGCTCTTGTACCTTCAACTTTCATCAGAGATCAAATCTCTAGTATCCATTTCTTCTTTCCTCTCTTGCCACTTCCCTCTGATCACAGAGTCACCTCCACCCATGACCTCTCATCAACATCATCCTCTTCTCCTTCACGTTCCAGACATCCCGGTTTTCCTTCCTTCTGGAGTTTTGAATTCATCTTCATCGTCGTTTCTGCTCGTATTCGTCTTCATCTCTGATGCCATAATCACCCTGCTGGATGATGTCTTTCTGCTGAATCCGTATGTGAGAAAGGTGTACTAACATCTGCCATTAGTCTCTCCTAACACTACCTTAGTTAAATAATTACTATTTTAGTCAATTTTCCCCTATATCAACCCTTTTAAATTCCTTTATTGTGAACTATATTATTCTAGACTGTATAGCCTAAAGCTTACCCCCTTAAATTATTAATATAACCCTAACAACTCCAAATAAATCCTGAATAATTAAACCCAATTTTATTCCTATATCCTATGTCACCAACTTATCAATTAGTGTTGAGTATATCTTACCACAACCCATCAACTGCCAGTAAATGCAAGTTAGTCATCTTCAGACTAAAATACCCATAAACAAAGCCTTTAACCCCTTGCTCTATAACCCCTAATTATCATAAATTTAAAGAATAATGTCAGTCCTTGATTCCCAACCCAACTGTAATCAACCCCAGTGATGCACATAGCCCCCAAAATGCAATTTTTAATGAAATAGTATTTGCCAAGTCTATGTAAAATCGTCATAACATCACATATCTTGTTAGGGAAAGATTTTGTAACCATAATCAGTACCAAAACCTTTTTGACTTGATCCTCTGCCACGTGACGTGATCACTTCCTGTATCTCCTCGCTCCCCCTCTCTCCTGTCTCTCATGACAAGGGACAAAGACACAAGAACAGCGTTTAGTAGTTAATGTCATCACTGAGTATTTCCAACCATTCAATATTCCTTCGTTCTACATTCGCTCTAAGACTTTAACTCAGGACTAATTATAGATCGCCCAAAAACATTTTACTTTTAATCCGTCATTTAATTATTTAATTCAATCTATTATAATCCGTTATCCTATATTTAATTTATAAATTCAATAGGCTACAAAACAAGTTTCCTCTTTAACCAATCGCAGTTTAAACTAGAATCATCGTGTTAAAATCTCTTTATGCGTATTTGTTCCGTCGTCTGTGTTCCTCTGTCTCCCCCTGCAGTTTAGCCAATGTGTTGTTTTACAGAAATCCACGCATGCGCAAATATCATTTTAACCTCATGCTTGAGTTGCAGCATCCCATCGTGGTGCCGTCTAGTGCCGTAAAACAAAACGTTCCCTAACCTCGTGCCATAAACTCCCCTTTCTGTAGTGTAGTGTCGCAAAATTAAACGCATGCGCACAACCATTCAAAAATACATTTTCCCCGTAAAATAATGATTCTCTACTCTCTCTCCCCAAACAGAAAGAATAACAGCCAGCTGTAACTTCCCATTTCCCCCTTCTAGTCAAACAACATTTAACAGCGCTCACAAAACATACAACCTGACTTACAGACAGTGACAAGTTTAAGAGACTTTAATCCATCGCAATGGAATCTCTAAGGATATCCGTTAGCATGTAGCACGCAACACAATTAGCCTGTAGCATTAGCCTTTAGCTTAGCCTAAGGTACACCGTGGCACAAAACACAATTAGCCATTAGCCTTAAGCATTAACATCAGCATTTAGCCACGATGTACCACGTGGCCTGAAACAACCCAGTCTTAGCTTCAGCCTCTAGCCAACTGCGGCCTACTAGCTATACAAATGAACACCCCGCACCGCGGCCCAATCATTGTCCATGATTATCAATAATATCTCCTTCTAACTTTGTGTTGCCGTAAGTTCTGGATAATCATAGAGAGGTTACCCCAAGCATTATAGTTCGTCAACCATACGATGAGTATATAACATACATATAATTCGTCCAGCTTAATAATCCCCAGAATTAACCCTACACCACATAACGCGTTGCAAGGATTTTATGGCCCATTCCTAAAGAATCGCCTCGATTCGAGGGCTTTTCCAGATCCCCCGGTGCCCTAATTATGCAGACATCTCCCAACATATATTCTCTACAAATCCATTGTCACCCGTTACCAATGAATTATACACTTTCAATACTTAAATCCTACCGTTTAATGCTCTACATTCCAATTAACTGCCGTTTCCGATGGAATAAATTTTAGCAGACTCCAGTCGACCAGCAATAACACCACCGAGGCCAGGTCGAAATGGAACATCCCTTCAATGTACACAAGTCATATCCAATCTAACAAACTCCGAAGCGGTAAGAACACTCACCCTTTTTTCGGCCATGCTTCAGAGAGAGTTAGGCCGGCGGTTGACTGAAACAAGGAAGAGACGCAAAACCAGCCCCACGTTGGGCGCCATTATGTCGTATATGATGAATGGTGGCAATTATTGCTTGTCAACAAAGAGTTCGCCACGCTGCATCGTGTTAGAGGCTTTTATTAAAATCACGAATTTACAGCATAGATACAGACTCGCGATGTCCGGAGAACGGCTCCCAGATTGCTATGGCCGTTCTGCCGTCTCATCGTTTACCCCCTATTTATAAACAATGCAAGAAGAGGAGTGACTCCCCTCTTCTGGCCAATCACCAGTCTCCCCTCGGGCGTCACCCTCCAAGCGGCACATTTCAAATAACATCATAAACCATCCCCCCTCTGGCCTAAACAACCAACATTCCATTTCGTCATGAAAAACATTTAACAAAGGCATAATCTTCAGATACGATACAGCATCCACAGCTCAAGTATTGACTTGATCTCTAAGATCTCAAAGTGGGGTCTGTCTGTGTACCATAGTTTGTTGTGAGAACAGCCAGGAAAATCTAGGTCAACACCAGGTCCTTTTGTTTTGTTTGATTCCAAGCACACAACTGTGTGAATGAAGTAATACCCTAGTTTTTTCATGTTTTTCATAATGAGCCTTTTTTATATATATATATTTGGAATCACAGGTGTCTTTCAACACAGATGAGGCCAGTGTCTCTGTTAAAGAGGTAGGTAAGAGGATCTTGGGTCTTGGAAACATGTTTATCAACAGCCTTATTTGTTGGCTGGTAAAGATGGTCAAAACCACTGATTATCCCCTTCATAGTGGCTTGACTGTGTTGTTTCTCATTGCAATCTCCTATTATATTATTGCTCTTACTGACTGTCTGTGTTTCAGTGTATCGAAGGTATCATTGGAGGAATAGACTACAACCAGAACAAAGTGAACCAATGGACCGCCAGCATCGTGGAGCACTCTCTCACCCAGTTGGTCAAACAAGGGAGACCATTCAAGTTCATAGGTGTGATGTTAAGATATTTCAACACAACTGAGCTATGGGATTAAGAGTCAGTCACAAATTGGTCACATCGAAGTAGTGAGAAAACATAGATGCACTAAAAGTTGAAGTTGTTAGTATACCTTAGAAAAAGGTTTATCTTCTCCACCCTTAACAGGCTGGATGATGGGCCCTTTGTGACCAGGAGCAAGGCTCTGTTCGTGACCAGGAGCAAGGCTCTGTGCATGACAGAATGCTTACAACAGGAAATGTATCACCAACATTGTCTTTTGTTCCAGTGAACTGTGTCATCACGCAGAAGAGTGGTGCTGGTCTCCACACCGCCAACTCCTGCTACTGGGACACTGCTACTGATGGTGAGAGAGAGGAAAACCGAACACAGTACTACTCTACTACTAACTGTACAAACCATTGAACAGGCATTTGCTTTGTTGTGCTAATGAACAGTGTGTCATCCTTTGGCTAAATCAGGAGGGTGTAACATGCAGAACTTTAAGATAGAAATCTATTGAATTTTACTGACATGATTTTCTGTGATATTCTGAGAACAGGGGATTTTTCCCGCTCTGTACATTGCGTTTCTATCTGTATATGTTTTGAACATTGCACTACACTCAAGAAGCTGCATGTGTCGAACTGTATTTTATGTGTCTAAATTAATTCTGATGTTGTGTTCCCTTTGATTGGTTGAGATCTAGTAGGTTGACCTGATTGGTCTTTGTGGTGTCCTCCCACAGGAAACTGCACAGTCAGGTGGGAGAACCGCACCATGTACTGTGTGGCGAGTGTTTTCACTGTGGCCGTAACCTGTTAATGTGGGACCCTCAATTTCCCTTCCCAAAACCCCCTGTCTCGCACAGAGCCGAACACAGCCAGGCATGCACCAGGACCACCAAGCCTTGAATATCCTATGCTGATTACCCATTAACAGAAATGTCTGTTGTACAAAAACACCTCTTAACCCCACACTCACAAACTTTGACCACCCACAATGGGAATCATAGGATGATGATGTGTTGCTATATGTGGTGGATTTATAGTGTTGTTTAGTGTTGTCTGTGTGTAAATGTAAATATAGACCAATAGTTAGAGAGAGATATGCTCAGTATGGATTTAGGAAATGGCACTACCCATACTGCTAAACGTTCTTCTTTCAACAATCACAGAACATCTTCAACTAGGCTATACATGTGTAATAATAGTATTAACTAAATTAATACATCACAATTATAGTTACAACTGTGAACAGGCTCATCTAAAATGTTTTCTCTGAGGCTCATAGCAGAGGGATCAGGTTCAATACATTCCTAACAGAGTGCAGAGAGAAAGACAAATTGGAGGTTCCATTGAAGCATTGTAGGTTTATGAAGGTGTATGTTTAATTTAAGAATATGTTAAGACATAATAATTAAATATACTCCATTTATATTTATTCTAAGACCATTCCCTGTAGATTGCTGAAGTTGTAGCTGTCCTACATTGTATTTGTATTTATCAGGATCCCCATTAGCTGCTTCCAAGGCAGCAACTACTCTTCCTGGGGTCCAAACACAATAAGGCCCCTACATTACATATAAAACAAAATATAAAACATTACATCATATAACATTATTACACCACTACATATCTACAATACAAAATGTATAATACCACTATACAACAATATTACAATGTACGTGTGTGTAGAGTGTGTGTGCGTGTCTCTTCACAGTCCCCGCTGTTCCATAAGGTGGACTTTTACCAGTTTTTTAAATCTGATTCAACTGCTTGTATCAGTTACCTGATGTGGAATAGAGTTCCACTTCTTACAAAAACAAGTAGTGATTAATGAAAATGTATGCACTCACTACTGTAAGTCGCTCTGGATAAGAGCATCTGCTAAATGACTAAAATGTAAATGTAAGTCAATCTCTCCTCTACTTTGAGCCATGAGAGATTGACATGCATATTATTAAGTTAGCTCTACGTGTACATTTAAGGGCCAGCCGTGCTGCACTGTTCTGAGCCAGTTGTAATTTTCCCAAGTCCCTCTTTGTGGCACCTGACCACAAACTGAACAGTAGTCCAGGTGCGACAAAACTAGGGCCTGTAGGACCTGCCTTGTTGATAGTGCTGTTAAGAATGCAGAGCAGCGCTTTCTTATGGACAGACTTATCTCCATCTTAGCTACTGTTGTATCAATATGTTTTGACCATGACAGTTTACAATCCACGGCTAATACAATAATTTCCACATTATTCATTACAAGATTTAGTTGAGGTTTAGGGTTTAGTGAATGATTTGTCCCAAATACAATGCTTTTAGTTTTTTTTTTATATTTAGGACTAACTTATTCCTTGCCACCCATTCTGAAACTAACTTCAGCTCTTTGTTAAGTGTTGCTGTCATTTCAGTCGCTGTAGTAGCTGACGTGTGATATTAAACTGACTGAAAATGCTTTTTGTTTCAACTACTCATGATACTGTAAATATGACTTGTGAGTTGTGACTGACATTTTTGTCCATTGACCTTTCAGTCATTAAATGCATTATTTAACTAATGTCATCATTTCCTGGTGTTTATTTGAGACATCTCACCAGTAAAGCAGGTTGACAGAATATCTAGTGAGGTTTAGGATAGGGTGAAACAAGTGCAACTGCTAGTTTCTTAACTTGTACACATTAATGTACATAGGGGGATTGTGAGGTACTAGTGGCGTTAGACAATTTGCAACAACAACAAAAGGTTATCCTATTTGCTGCATTGTTCTAATCTAGGGCAAAGCCTTGTACCAGATGGGATTTTAAAAGAACAGGTGGAATTAAATTGTTTACAGACACAAGCTGCTGCATTGGTCATATGACCAATGTAATTCTATGTAATTACAGATGTTTAAAGCGAGTAGTGAAACTCATATGACAAGCTTGTTTCTAAGAGTTTATTCATTTTATATTTAGGCAAATATTGAGCGTGAAAAGAGGCCAAAGTCAACACATGAGAATATGTCTGTACAGGTCTGATGAAGCAAGGGTATCCATAGCCTGAGAATGAGTGACAGGTTATGGCTGGTGAAAATAAAACAGTTACCTCAGAGAAGTTCTGAAAATGATTGCCTTGGATGATTTTGGCCCTCTTTTTAGCATCCTTCTGTCCTTGAGTTAATCATTGATTGAAGCTGTTGTTACTATTCTGTTCACTAACCAAAGCTTAGAAGATCAATTACTTCAAGGCTGGAGAGAAGGACAAATTGATTTTTTAAGAATTTGCTCCCAGCCTAACAAACTAGAGGAATATTCTTGGCTGGATTCCATTTAGAAAACTTGCTACCTCTCCTCAGCCCTAATCTGAAAATAGTTAAGAGAACAACATAAAATGTAGGAGCACCAAAAAAGCATTTTTGTATATTTATTGAGATAAAGCCTATATTGGGCCTATATGAATTCTAGCTACTTTTGAAGCACATGCTGTGCCCTAGAAACGAATAACCCTTTAAAGCTGCAATATGTAACTTTTTGTCAGTAGGAACCACATTTGTTTAAGCAAGTCAGCCATATCAGCGTAGCATAGGAGCATACCATAGGGTAACCAGTCCATCCAGTATGTATAATAATACAGTCCACACGATTACATTTACTTCATTTAGCAGACGCTCTTATCCAGAGCGATTTACAGTTTGTGAGTGCATACATTATTTTTACATACTGGCCCCCCGTGGGAATCAAACCCACAACCCTGGCGTTGCAAACACCATGCTCTACCAACTGAGCTACATCGATTACTAGAATGTGTTTAATTTTGGAGTATAGGCTAGACCAATTATGTACCAAAGACATCTTAAATCAGTTTTGTTTGATGTTCTAATATGTATTGTACAGTGTCTTGCGAAAGTATTCACCCCCCTTGGTATTTTTCCTATTTTGTTGCCTTACAACCTGGAATTAAAATGGATTTTTGGGGAGTTTGCATAATTTGATTTACACAACATGCCTACCACTTTGAAAAATATTTTTTATTATGAAACAAACAAGAAATAAGACCAAAAAAACAGAAAACTTGAGCGTGCATAACTATTCACCCCCCCAAAGTCAATATTTTGTAGAGCCACCTTTTGCAGCAATTACAGCTGCAAGTCTCTTGGGGTATGTCTCTATAAGCTTGGCACATCTAGCCACTGGGATTTTTGCCCATTCTTTAAGGCAAAACTGCTCCAGCTCCTTCAAGTTTGATGGGTTCCGCTGGTGTACAGCAATCTTTAAGTCATACCACAGATTCTCAATTGGATTGAGGTCTGGGCTTTGACTAGGACATTCCAAGACATTTAAATGTTTCCCCTTAAACCACTCGAGTGTTGCTTTAGCAGTATGCTTAGGGTCATTGTCCTGCTGGAAGGTGAACCTCCGTCCCAGTCTCAAATCTCTGAAAGACTGAAACAGGTTTCCCTGTATTTAGCGCCATCCATCATTTCTTCAATTCTGACCAGTTTCCCAGTCCCTGCCGATGAAAAACATCCCCACAGCATGATGCTGCCACCACCATGATTCATTGTGGGGATGGTGTTCTCGGGGTGATGATAGGTGTTGGGTTTGCGCCAGACATAGCGTTTTCCTTGATGGCCAAAAAGCTCAATTTTAGTCTCATCTGACCAGAGTACCTTCTTCCATATGTTTGGGGAGTCTCCCACATGCCTTTTGGCGAACACCAAACGTGTTAGCTTCTATTTTTCTTTAAGCAATGGCTTTTTCTGGCCACTCTTCCATAAAGCCCAGCTCTGTGGAGTGTACGTCTTAAAGTAGTCTTATGGACAGATACTCCAATCTCCGCTGTGGAGCTTTGCAGCTCCTTCAGGGTTATCTTTGGTCTTTGTTGCCTCTCTGATTAATGCCCTCCTTGCCTGGTCCCCCGAGTTTTGGTGGGTGGTCCTCTCTTGGCAGGTTTGTTGTGGTGCCATATTCTTTCCATTTTTTAATAATGGATTTAATGGTGCTCCATGGGATGTTCAAAGTTTCTGATAATTTTTTTATAACCCAACCCTGATCTGTACTTCTCCACAACTTTGTCCCTGACCTGTTTGGTCTTCATGGTGCCGCTTGCTTGGTGGTGCCCGTTGCGTAGTGGTGTTGCAGACTCTGGGGCCTTTCAGAACAGGTGTATATATACTGAGATCATGTGACAGATCATGTGACACTTAGATTGCACACAGGTGGACTATATTTAACTAATTATGTGACTTCTGAAGGTAATTGGTTGCACCAGATCTTATTTAGGGGCTTCATAGCAAAGGGGGTGAATACATATGCACGCACCACTTTTCCGTTATTTATTTTTTAGATTTTCTTTTTAACAAGTGGTTAGAGGGACATTATAAACTGGCTGGTTCGAGCCCTGAATGCTGATTGGCTGACAGCCGTGGTATATCAGAACGTGTACCACGGGTATGACAACATATGTATTTTTACTGCTCTAATTACGTTGGTAACCAGTTTATAATAGCAATAAGGCACCTCTGGGGTTTGTAGTATATGGCCAATATACCACGGCTAAGGGCTGTATCCAGTCAGTCCAGGTTGGGTCGTGCATAAGAACAGCCCTTAGCCGTGGTATATTGGACATATTCCACACCTCCTCATGCATTATTGCTTAAACAGAGTCCTGAGTACCAGGCCATTAGCGACCTGATGGTAGTTAGCAAGTAAGGTATACTACCAAAGCATGTCCAGAGTGCATAAAAGGAGATTACCATGACTCAATGGTCACGTGGAATTTTACTGCTGCCATGAATCATGACTGCTGGTGTGGCGGTAGTAAGGTCACTGCATCAGCCCTAATTACAACCCATGTGTTGTGATAATTGCGTTGTTTGCTCTATAGCCTGTTAGTTCATATGCTTTGACACCGTGATATATAGGCCTAAGGCCGAGACAATAAGAAGACATGGTGGCAGGATAAATTCAACCACACATTTGTTTAATTACAAAACCAGACAGCAACATCTGTCCAATGAAGTCCACAAGACATATTGCATGTAACAAACAGTTACATGACCTACAGCGTGGTCAAGCAAGGTAATGTTTCCAACATTTTCGGACTACTAAACAACTATTGATTTAGAACCACTGAGAGTTACCACAAGTCGCAAAGAATACAGGAGCTGCCTCCCCTATTCCAGCACC